CTTGCTGCCCAGTCATACAAGGGCTCATACCTAAACCCAAACCCTGAACCCTTCAACCCTAAACCCTAAACCCTAAACCCAAAACCCCAAACCCTAAACCCTAAAACTAGTGGATCCACCTCATCAAGGGCTGGCTGGTGCGGCTGGTGCCACAGCACAACTGCAGGTGCAACAGTTCTCAGGTGTGCAGGGCTTGACTCAGCATGGTGTCACTTGGGCGGTGTCACTAGTGACATTTGATCACGTGGGTGCCAACCTGTGACGTCAGCAAGACTCCAAGGGGGTGAACCCACGTACCCTGCCTGCCCAACTAAATGAACAAACATCCATCATGGGGTCAGAACAAACCCTAAACCCTAACCTAGTAAAGTTCGTAACCCCTAAACCCCAAACCCTTCTTTGGGCGACGGTTGCAGCACCTTTTGGCAGTCTTTTCTGGCACATTATGGTCCCTATGATGGACCCCGACCCCTACAGCAGCCTGCCTCACTCTTCTGGTGAGTCGTGGTGATGTCAGACGCATGACTAAACACGTGTGTCATGACCCTGCAGCTTCCACCCTGGCTGCAGCCCTGTGGGTGTGAGTCCAAGGCTGATGCTCGGTGGTGCACTGCCTTGGGCACATCCAAGGGTTGACAGCTGGTGCCAGCAGCCTGCCTCACTCTTTTGGTGAGTCGTGGTGACGTCAGCGGCAGCACCCATCACGTGTATCCTGACTGTGCAGCTTCCACTGGCAGCTGCACGCCTGTGGGTGTGGGGGTGGGGTGAGTGTGCTGTGCACTGCCTTGGGCAAATCTGCAGGATACAGCACTTGTCACCCCGTGTCAGACTGCTGCCCAGCCTGCACAATTCTGCGCTGTGGCTGTTGGGGGCGGTTTCGAGACAGCATGCAGCCTTGCCACAAGCAGTACCACGCATGGGGGGAGGTCTGGTGGGCTGGGAAGAGTCTTGGCACATCATCCCTTTGATGATGTGCCAAACACAAGTGGGGGGGTGTTGGTGCAGCCCTCCACCATGCCTGCCCCACCTTGCCATTCATTGGGCAGAACCGTCCCCTCACACCCACCAGACGACGCCCAACGCGTTTCAGGACCAGGTGGAATGTCTGCAGCCACCATAACTTGCTGCCCAGTCATACAAGGGCTCACACCTAAACCCAAACCCTGAACCCTTCAACCCTAAACCCTAGGCGACAGCCGACTACAACGACAAGGTAGTTGAGCCATCTCTTGATCTCAGCTTGGTTGCAGCCCACATTTGCAGGTCATGCACGACGGGTACACAGTTGACCACAATGGACAGTCAGCACCCCACACTACTGAAGCGCGACCATTTGCCGTGATCAGAGATGTGAAAATGGATTTTGTGTCTTGCGGTTGGCCATTGACTTCAGTGCCAGAAAAACTCCAAGAATACTTGCAGTGGGCACGCGCCGAGCCTGTGACCCGCAACGGGCGGGGCCTCAACGGCCGTAGAAGGTGCTCAGCGCTGCACCAGCTGGACAGCAGCAGCTGCAGGCCCTTGGTTGCAGGGGGTGCCCTGTACCGAATGCTTGCCTGGCCAATTGAGCAGTTCAAATACTTTTAAGGGTTCCTTGAGATAAAACAGTCTGCCATCAGCGGCAGATCGCCGCGAATCACCGATCCAACAAGCAGCGCAGAGGGAAACATGCTTGCGCAGAAGACCGCGCATTGCACAGGTAACGATTCTCGCAACAATTGTCCTGCATGGCGCAACATTCAGGGGGGGGCGACCGCGACCACTCACTGCTCGTGCCGTGCTGCTTGCGCACACATCCTTCAGGTGTGGCAAAGAGGCCTGGACCTCTGCACGGCGCACGGCCCAGGGTACTGGCCGTTCGCACAGCAGCTGTGAGTGATGTTTGGCCATGGGGCAGGGAGGGCACACGCGGACATGCATGCACCTGAACAACATAAACAAACGAACGAGCAGCAAGCCAATGCTCCAACTTGAATTTTGTTGCATGCCCGCAGCTGTTCTCATTCGGTGCCAAGAAGTCCAAGGAGGCGCCTACAAAGCGGCCGACAGTGGTGCCGAGCCCCTCATTCAATGTACCGCTGGGTCTGCTTGTGATCTCCGGGCTGTCAGCCTATGAGGGCGTCACGCCTTTGGCAGGCATCGCAGGTCTCCTAGGCGTATTTCTGGCCATCCAGGCGACGCGCGTCAAGTGCGTGTGCTTGTTGACGCAAGAAATTTGAAGGCAGGGTGCATCTCTTGCCATATAGCATGCCAGCTGAGGCAAGCGCGCGCGCTTTGACCTTGCCAACCCCACTCGAGCTGGCAGCAGGTTCGTCCGGCTCGGCTAGGTGGCGTACTGCTGGAAGCAAACGTGTGCAGCCGACTTGCCATGTTGCTTGTTGCATAAGTAAACCAGTCAGCTTTTCCACCCCACGTCTGTCCTCTTCATTTGGCTGGTGTGTCAGGTTTGTTTTTGACGACGTGGGGCTGGAGGTCGTCATTGCTGGCAAGGAGGAGGAGGAGACGGAGAACAAGTTTGTGGGCGGCCGCAACCGCTGGTCATACGACTCCTTCATCAACTGGGTGGGCAACTTGTGACAGCCACAAAGTCCCAAGAGGCAAGGTGGCATGTGTTATTGCGGCCTGCCACTGGCTGGGGCTGTGTGTCTGTACCACATGTCAATCTCAACAGGGCCCCATGCCCTCCCCACCACAGGAGTTTTGGTGGCCCGGCTTCCCTGTTCTCGTTTACTTCAAGGTGGGCCGCGCAAAGCAGCAGTAACATGCAGGGTGGCTAACACAGCAGAAGCCTCTGTGTGCCGTAAAAGCTTCCGCGTCCCTCTTGCGTGCCCTACTCCCTGTCCCCAGTGACGTAAATGTATCGTGCTGCCCTTATTTCTGAGATCCGCAGGAGAGTCAGACCAAGCCAGAGGGCCAAATTCATTTTTTCCCAAGTGAGTTTGGGCTTGGCATCTTCACGGTCGTCTTGTCACTGTATTCATGCCATGAGAGCGTGCGTATTTGTAGATGTTTGGGTGACTTGACTTGGCCAACATTAAACTGACACTACTGCACGATTGCACTGTGCACATCTCGCAGTCATCTTCAACGGTCAGGAGCTGTACAACGTAATGGTGGAGCGTTGCGGCCCCTCCAAGACTAGCGGCCCCAAGTGACAGCCCTGTATGTAACTCAACTCTCTTCTCATCGCACCCGTGCACACGTGAAGGTCCATTGCCAGCGTAGGGCAACAACCCGGCAGGGCAGCTGCGCAAGATATCTGTCTCGTAAATTAGCACTTTTGAGGCTGAGTGGCGGCGGTGCGCAGGAACTCGGCCCATGGTGGGGGCGGGGGCAAAGACTGGCGTGTGGCAGGGCTCCCGACAGCACTGCAGCTGAACAGCTGCTTCAAGAGGACACAACAGGAAAGGCGAAAAAGGCCACACAGGCAGATGAGGCACGCCCTGTGCAATCTCACTTTATCTTTCAGCCTTCCTGGGCGCACCGTGCACTTGATGCACACACCTCCCATCAGAGCCGGCGGGCGTTGAGTCTTGAGTGACACAAGACCAGGCACATCAGCAGCTGCCCCGCCTCTCCTGGGTCCATGCTGACCGTGAGGGTGTGCGTGCACCTTTACCTGAGTAAAAATGCGTTTTTTGACGTCTTTTGTGCCGCTCGAAATCGCCCTTGGCGTCTTCGGCTTCTGCACGCGGGGTGCAAGTCAAACGGCCTCGCCTCGAGCTCTGCAAGCCATCGCCGGCTGGCGGGACAAAAGCTTGTGATACTTCACTATGATCGGGCTGATCGGGGTGATGGGTGGCGCTGCAGCACTGGAGATCCGCAGGCTGCGGCACCACCGCGGCCAGGACGACAAGGACGGGCAGGTCAAGGAGCTGAAGAAGACCGTAGAGGTATGAGCTATAGCTTACAGGCGTTAGCGGCCTGCATCTTCCAAGGCCTGCACCCAGCTGGGGCCGATGCGAGGCATTCAAACCGCCTCTGCAGCGCGCGCCGCGCAAGGCATCATGTGTAAAGTGGCGCATGACAGTTCCCCTCTCCCGCGGCGACAAAGAAAGACCGGCGCCGGACCGCCCTGATGCAGCTGCTGATGGCCTGTCACGCACCAATTGTCTCTCGTACATGCCCTCGTGCAGCAATATGCCAAAGAATTAGAGCAAGAGCGCCGCGTTGCGGCGGCAGCGGCGGAGCGCGCCAATGCGCTTGCCGCCGAGGCGGACGGGCTGCGGCGCGACACTGATCACCTGCGGGGCGCGGCCGAGTCGCTGGGCAGGAACAAGGAGGAACTGGCTCAGCAGAATGCGCAGCTGTTGCTAACCAACCTCAAGCTGAAGGACGAGTCGCAGCAGCTGGTAGAGGCCAATCGCCTGCTAACGGAGAAGGTGAGTGAACTTCCCCAGGGCGAGGGGGATTGCGCCTAGTTTTGTCTAATTGCTTGGGGTTCTACTGCTGTGATGAGTCCAGAAGCAGCGCGTGGTTTGCACTGTTGACGGGGACGCAAGTGGTGGGCTCCAATCACGAGGGCTTGATTTGCAGTGTATGCTGCAACTCGCGCAATGTGGGATGCGCCAATTACCAGCCATTGCTGGCTCTGATGCCATTTGCACGCATGGCGTCAAATTTTTATGCAGATGACGGAGCTAAGCGCCGAGCGGGAAGCCGAAGCAGCGCATTTTGCTGCAGAGCTTGCAGCACTGCGCGACCGCGTGGCGGGCGTGCTGCAGCGCATGTTCAGCAGCGAGATTGATGAGGGCGCCGCTGTCGAGGCACTGCGGGAGTTGGGCTGTGAGGTGACCTTCGTGCCCGACACAACAGCAAGGACAGAGCAGTCTCATACCAGGTGAGGCATTTGGACGTGTGAGATGCTTTGGCGAAGTCCCTGCAAGTGATCGATGCAGCATCGGCGCTGTATGCGTGTGCGCTTGTGCTGGCAACGCATGCGCCTTTTGCTGGCCAAGCAGCAATCAGCGGAAGCATGAGCGGCTCACACGCATCTTGTGGCCAACCTCGCCCACGCTGCAGCGAGCCATCCTACACGTTTGCACCCAGCCTGCTCCTTGATGACCCCGCCAAGATGGCGCGGCTCATGCAGGCCGCGCTATCGCAGAGCACGAGCGGCGCACTCTCGCCGCGCCTTTTGGAGGGGTCCTCGACAACAGGCAGCCTCACTCCTCGATTTGCACGCGACAGTGCCAGCCAGCGTGCCATGCAGGCCACCCTCAACATTTCTGGCGCTAGCAGCACTTCCGGGGCCAGCACACCACGCTTCACGCTGTCATGGCTGGGCGGCGCCCCAGAGAGCACAGGGTTGGGCACTAGCAGCGCAAATGCTGCCGTGCAGCAGCAGGGAGTTGAGCAGCAGTTGGTCAAGATTGCTCAGGCCAAAGCTGCCAGCGACGTTCCTCGGGGCGGTGGGGACAATTGCAAGGACGAAAACGTCACGTCGGGCGGCAGCCTGGGCAAGTCTGTCAACAGGAGCAATGGATGCGTCGAGCAGGGCGGCAACCTGGTGTTTGCATCCCAGGCCAAGGTGAGCCACCGGCCTCGAATTTGCTAGTGGGATCAGGCCACAACATGCAGGGAACATCTTTCATGCATCACGGACAGGGTGAGTCTCACGTATGGGTGTGCTTGCACGCTCGCCACCCAAAGGCAACCTTCTCCCTGTGTCCCCTTCTCTTCATCAATTGCGCAGGGCACGTCAACAAAGTCGCGCCTAGGCCTCAGTCTGACAGATGCCTCCGGCATATTCGGGAGCAGCAAGAAGGGCGCAAGCGTGTCAAGCGGTCGCTTCGATCAGGCGATGGTTGCTGGGCAAGAGGACACCGGCAGCGATCTGAGCGGGTCAAAGGACCTGGTGGCGCGCAAGTGAATTCTTCTGTGCGTAGGGCCAACTGAAACCAGCTTTGTTTGCGGCTAGAATCTATCTGCCTAATCCACCACAAGCTTTCCACACACGTTCCTTTGAGATACCGTGAAATATTTGCGAATTCGGACAGCCGATTGCAGTGCCCTCGCCTCCATGAGCTCACAATCACCCTTGACCTTCACTGACGTGTACCTGTAATCTGACTCTAAAGTGACGCGTAGATGGCAAGATCAAGCACATGTGCCAGCTGGTCTCTTCGGTGTTGTGAACGTAAACAATCGTTTGGTGCACTAAACAGTGCTTGCAACGAAATCTTTTGTGAGACCCGGGCTGTGCAGCTCCCGGCGGGTGCGCCTGCCTGGGGGAGAGCAAGGTGAAAGTGTCGACCCTCTTGACTGGCCATGGCATGTTCCTTGGTGCAGCGTGTTGGTTGAACACTCAGCACCCCACACGCAGATTGTCACCGTGTGCTCGGGCCTACGTCTTAACAAACTCTACGCTGTCCCTGTCCCTGTCACAATTGTTGCTGCAAGGGGCAAGGGCCTCCCTGGCCAGCCTGGCCTGAGCATTGGCAACTTTGACCCTGTGAGGGCGCCGTGGCGGCAAGGATGGCTGGGGGTACGGCCGGTCGCTCGGATAACATCAGATGCTTGGCGGTGCATCCATCGCGGTCGGCTTGCTGCAGGCGGTCCAGCAGCCGCTGCTTCTGTGACAGTGTGCGCGCTCATGGTTTTGACGCGCCATAGCTCATGTCCCCCGGGTGAGGCGCATTGCCCCCGCGCGGGTGCAAGGCCACCGGCTACGCCAGCATATGCATACCGTACCTGGAGGTGTTCCAATGCTATTGGAGAATCTCAGGAAGCTGGAGGGGCAGGTGCGGGTATGCCGCTTGCAGCCAGTGGTGCAGGTTGCGCCTTGCTCTAGCCAAGCCAGCAGGAGGGGCTGCTCAAGGCGATGGTCAATCTCGGCTGCCCTGCGGCCTTCCCACGCAACGCTGGCCTCTTCTCAGCCGCAGTAACATCATCCTGATACCACAGAACCCTGACCAAATGTCTGTCATCGACGATGTTGCGGTGTTCGTCTGTTTTCATCCACCAACACGCCTGATGAGGCACAGGCTGTTGTGCATGTGCCCTGGGGCATAACAGTCACCCCCGTGACCTCTGTGAGTCGTGGCTGGCGTGCATGCCTTTGTAGTTCACTCGATGAACACAGGAGAAAGAAATTCAATTTGCTTGTACCCTGGCGATGCGTCGAGGATAGAAACGCGGCCACCACCCACTCTCCCACCCGCAAACCCCTCACTCCCCAACTGCCTTCAGCAACTGCCGTGTGGCATCATCCCAACCACCACCACCACCTCGCTCAGTAGCGTGCAAACACCCACGGCCATGCACTATTGCACACGAAAAAAATCGCCAATGCCGACGCAGCGCCCCGCCACCCCTGCCGCCTCCCCCGGCCGACCAGAGCGAACTGTCACCGCGGCGGGCCGGCCGAACTGTCACCGCACTCGGCGCGGTGACACCATCCCTGCCGCCTCCCCCGGCCGACCAGAGCGAAGTGTCAACGCGGCGGACTGGGCAAACTGTCATCGCGCGCCGACAGGTGACGCAAGCTTGCTTAGAGAGTCACGTACTGCAGACGGGCGCCATCAACTTCCCTGTCGTGTCGCAATTGAGACAAACTTGAGACAAACAAACTTGCAAACAAGTTGTACTGTGACGGGGTCTATTTAAACCAATCCGGGGCAGGTGTGTTCTCGCTTGGAGACGCCTAGACCAGTGGGTGAGCGCCCTTTGTTGTGCGCTGGCGGTCAGCTCTCACCCTCATGACCAGCCATTTGCGCGGCCTCTTCACCACGAGCATTGTGGATGTTTACTTACATGGAGAAAACTCCGTCGTAGCATGAATGCATTGAAGACTGTATATTGAACCCATAAGATGCGATAAGTGGCCTGGTTCAAAAGATCGGGATGCCTCATCATCAGATCTGAAGCCCGGTTTCCTGGTGCAAAGCGCTGCACCTCGCTACCCTCGCTACAGATATCCTTTGTGTAGCGAAGAAAAACGCAGCGTGTTAGTGCGTGCAAAATTGCAGTGTGCATGATGGCCGCTGCGGCCGCAGCGCATGCGCTTGCAGGCACGCACCGCTACCGCACCACCGACATTGAGAGCGACGCCAGCTCTTTTGAAGACTTGCTGTTGCCCAAGCCGCTGGTACATGCCCTGGCAGAGGCAGGCTTTCAGCGGCCCTCGCCGGTCCAAAAGGTGGCCATCCCCTTGGGGATGGTGGGCACCGACCTGATCGTGCAGGCCAAGTCTGGCACTGGGAAGACCTGCGTATTTGCGGTGATAGCGCTGCAGCGCATCAAGTCGGATGTGACCACGCCACAGGTGGGTGTGTTGCAATGCCTACACGCTGCGCTTGCGCTGGGCATCGTCCAGACAGCGCCAATGGACCTGCTGCGCCTCACCACCCTGGCAGGCCCCTCGGCCCCCTGCTCGTGCACGCCCCAGAGCGCTCCATGCTTCCTCCGCAGGTGCTGGTCCTAGCCCCAACACGGGAAATAGCCCTCCAGAGCGCGGATGTGATACACCGGATTGCTTCGGGGCTACCGGAGCCCTCGCCCACTTCTGTCGCTTTTGTGGGCGGCCTGCCCACCACCGAGGACCTCAAGCAGCTGCGCAGGTATGCCAGGCTGGATTGCGTAGCTGACCCGGCGGCCAGCAGCCGCACAAGACCAAGTCAGCGGAGAACAAGGCAGCGCATTCATATGGGCACTTCACACGCTGTTCACAGGCCTGCTGCTGTGATGCATGGTGTCCTGCTGAGCCCCCTCTGTTGTCGCCTGCAACAGGACCTGCCAGGTTGTTGTGGGGACCCCTGGGCGTATCTGTGCGCTGATGTCGTCTGGCGCTATGCCGCTGCAGTCGCTGAGGGCTCTGGTGTTGGACGAGGCGGACCAGCTGCTGGCAGAGGGCTTCTATTCAGACGTGGCTTGGCTGCACGATCAGCTGCCAGTGACAAAGCAGGTAAACATCTGGATGGTGTCAAAAGGCTTGCAAACCTTCAATTGTTGGGTTGAAATCTCTCCCCCAGCAGTCAAGCACGTGCTTGCGTGAGTGCCCTGACAGGCAACAACTATCATGTGCCCTGACAGGCAACTTTTGGGTTGGTTCGCGCACCCATGCAAGTGACGTGCACACCTTATGCCTCCCTCCACCCACCCTTCACACGCCTACCTCACCCTTCACACACCTACCTCACACCCCTGCTCGTGGGACACGTGCATTCACAAGCACGCACGCACGTTGCGCACACGTATGCATGCGCACACGCAAGCGCTCACATATGAACGACGCACACATGTGCGCATACACTCGCGCGCACAGCTTGAGGCGTTCACACCCCTTCTCTGCATGATGTCCGCTCAGGTGCTCGCCTTCTCAGCCACATACACCCCTGGCCTTTTAGCAGACTTGGAGCCGCTGATGCGGCGGCCCCAGAGGGTGCTGCTGTGCGAGGACACTGTATCCCTTCAGGGTATACGCCAGTTCTACCGCGTTGTAGGGGACACACGGGGCAGCGTGCCGCTTGAGCAGCAGCCGCAGCAGCAGCAGCCGCAGCAGCCGCAGCAGCAGCAGCCGCAGCAGCAGCAGCCGCAGCAGCAGCAGCAGCAGCAGCAGCAGCAGCAGCAGCAGCAGTCAGGCGACCAGGCAGAGCAACGCATTCCCAGGAACAGCCTCGCAGAGCCAAAGCCGGAGGCAGACGGGGCTGATCAACAGCAGTTGCTGCTGATGAAGGTGGATGCGCTGCTGGAGCTGCTGGGTGGTGTCTCCTTCCACCAGGTCTGGCAGGGGCGTGACATCCGGCAACAGCATGAGGAATGGGAGCGGAAATGTTTTGAGGGGGGAGCGGCTACGGCTTGTTCTCAACTGCCTGTACTTCGCAAGGCTCTGCCCAACCATGTCGCTGCCATGAACCCCGCTTCGCAGGCAGTTGTTTTCTGCAACCGCAAGCCAGCTGCTGAGTGGCTGGCTCGGCGGCTTTCCTCGGCGGGCTACCCATCATCTTGTCTTTCATCTGACTTGACCCAGCCCGAGCGCACAGCGGCCATGGAGGCGCTGCGTGAGTTTCGAGTGCGTGTGATGGTCTGCACCGACATCATGGCGCGTGGAGTTGACTTGGAGCGTGTCAACCTGGTCGCATTGCTAGATGCACCACCAGATGCAGCCACCTATGTGCACCGGGTTGGCCGAACCGGCCGCTTTGGGACGCGTGGTGTGTCTGTGGCGCTTGTGACACCACGCGAGCTGGAACGGCTGCTGGGCTACGCGGCAGAGGCGCGCTCCGGTGAGGAAAGGGTTAGTCAAAACGGTGGCTGCTTTAATCAGTGCGTGCTGCTTTCCTGCTGGACAGGGTCCCGTGCAAACTTCCGATGTGGTGCTTGCATTCCCAGGCCTCAGGCCTTGTTCCCATGTGTGCTCAAAGTAACATCATCAAGCCACTGAAACGCCATGCCTCGGGCTGCCCCCTTCTGCCCCCACAGGCAAGCTGTTGCCCCTGCCGAGCGAAATTCCCTCCGACCTGTACGCTTTTGAGCTGGAGTCGCAGTGGGAGGAGGAGGCACTGCAGTTGTTGAGGGGCGCGCCCCTATCCACGCCACCAGCCAGCCCACCGCCAGTTCGGCCTCGGCACCAGCAAAAGTCGCGCTCTCAAGATGGCGAGCCTAGCAGCAAAGATCACTTGATGCAGCATGTGAAGCTTGGCTCCTCTGACGGAGAGGGAACCAGCAGTCAGGAGGCAGACAAGTGGCAGGTTTGGCAGCACTGGCAGGCGTGGCAGCACTGGCAAGCCTGGCAGGCGTACTATGCAGGGGTGCACCAACAAGTCCTGCCGTCACTGCAGCCCCCGCAGCAGCAGCAGCAGCAGCAGCAGCAGCAGCAGCAGCAGCAGCAGCAGCAACACAGTGCCGCTGTAAACGACGCTTGGCCCCGAGGTGCGCCTGTCAATTGCCCCTTGAACGGCGATCAATGGGAGGGGCCAGGTGCAAAGGAGGGCAGCATTCATGCCAGCAGCGCGGAGGGCAGTGACGACGAGAGCGGCTGGGAGGAACCTGGCGATGATGAATTGGATGGTCATGCGGCCGCCTTGCTGTCGCAGCTGGTTGTTGCAACGGAGCAGAAGGCTTCAGCAGACCAAGAGCAGGCGTCGGGAGACGGCAGCACTCGAGCAGGCCACGTCAGCGTGCTGAACCCACAAGCCGGCTGCTCTGTGGTGCCAAGTGTGGCCGTTACATTGGCCAGCAGTAGCCCCTCCCAGGCAACAGCAAGAGACCCAGCAGCAGTGACGAAGGTGCCAGCTCGAGCTGCTGGCATGCGCGGGGTGCCCCAGCCTACTGCAGGAGAGCAGCGAGCAGCCGCACATGCTGCTGCATGCCAATGCCGCAGCTGGCATCATGCGTACCTGCGGTGGCATCACGACTACACCACTTGGCTGCAAGAGTTTGAGGCGTGGCGTGCCTGGACCGTGTGGGCCTCAATGGCATAAGCATCTGGCCCATCATGGACTGTTCTGCGCACCAATTTGCAACATTGTAAATTGACCAACCTTGGTCACTGTGGCTGTGACAGGCCCGTGCAGGCTAACCATGCTGTATGACATTGGATTACGTTGCATGATGCCCAACGTCTCATGGTCTGTGCGACATCATGCAATGACGGCTATGCCAAGAAAGTAAAATGCACAGGTTGCAAAGGAGGTCTGAAGGAGGAGCAGAAAGCATGGATAATGCACACATGTTGCGAAGGAGGTTCCGACAAATGGATAAGCACACAACAAGTGGCAAACGCACACCCTGCCCGCAGTCACCGCCGTCCCGGCAGGCACTTGACGCGCACGCGTTGCAGTTCTTCGGCCTGCAGGGGCGATGACAAGGAAGGCGAGCAAAGGCTGAGACCTAGACTTGGCCAGCCTGATTGAATCCTGCAGCTACGTTGGTTCAACCAAAGTACAGCTTGTCAAAGCAAAGACACGCCAACACCAAGCCGCCACTGCACCTGCCAATTAAATGTGTGCCTTAGCTTGTCCAGGTCGTCTTGCAGGTGGTCACAGTAGGCAGAACCCAGGCCGACAGTGCCACCTGGGTGCAAGCAGAGCAGGCATGTAAGGCGGGACAGCAAAACGAGACCAAGATTGTAGCAATATATCGCAACTTGCGACTATGGCAATCGGCCCGCTGGCCCCTGACATTGCAGCATGGCAAGCCTATCAGGGCTACCTGGGTACACACCCTGAGCGAGTGCAGACCCCTTGGCTGCGCCAACATGGTCGCCCAGAGGCTGCGGCACCAGTGCCATGAGCGTAATGGGTGCATCATTGATGTACCAGTATGTGCTGAGGATGGTGATGCGTTCCTGGGTGGAGCCAATATTGGTGTGAGCAGGGATGGACAGGGCGTTCACAGCGGCGTGGAGGCTCGATGGAGTTGCCGTGGCCATTAGCTCCCAGCCTCCCCCCCCCCCCCAAAAAAAACGAATATCCTCCCCCTGAATTAGCACCCAGTCCCTACCTTGGGCATGACAAAAATGCCCTCCTTTCGGGTTTCCAGGGTCTCCAAAGTTCGAAGAGTCTCCAACCCTTTTGTGACTTGGCCAAATACGGTATACTGCAAGGAGACGCAGAAACATTTGTTGAGTGCCAGCGACAATTGCACCAATCACCTGGCACATGTACAAAGGTGGCTGCTCTCTTGCAACGCACTGATTTCAGTACCACCGTACCGCTTGCCGCTTGAAAGTCACCCTCTGTCAATGTACGGGAGGTGTGTCTTAGGATTTCGGATTTGCCGTTACCCTGCCTCCCCACCAAACCATGTACCTGCATGTCCAGATGTGGCGCGTTGCCCAGCAGCATGGAGAAGCTGCTCGTGCCGCTGTTGGGATCATCAAAGCGCCCCATGCTCAGCACGCCTGTAGTGTGTTTGACGTCGGCCCGTACCTCCAGGGGCACCTTTTTATCACCCTCCGCCTGGGGCCCCGAAGGGGAAGAAGGCAAGGCGTGTCAGCACAGGAGCGCTGGACAGAAGTGCATACGTAGTTGTTTGCACTTTTAGGCAGCTTGGTCGCTCTTGCTGCGACGTCAGAAGCACACCTTTTGTGCGGCATCCAGGGCAAGGCTGCGTCCACTCGTGACCTCCGCCACTTGGGCCACAAACCTGCGGAATGTACATGTTTTCAAGCAAGGAGTGTGTGCAGACGCATCGCGTCCTGACGACAATGTGGCATGCGGTGCACCCAGCTGGCCAGGGTTGATTCCCTGGGCGCACCCTTTGTCCACACGGAAGATGTGGTTTCCGTTGTATGCACCCAAGGTGACCAGCTTGAAGATGTGC